AAGAGCTGGTGCCTTCGGGGTCCTGGGCAAGCCCACCTTCCTCTGACTTCAGATCCACGCGAAAGGAATCATTACGGGGCCCGGCCGCTGACAGAGTCACAAGTTTTCGGGGAGACAGATAGGGCCTATTGTTCAGCTTAAGGATAGGAGAATAAGCACCAAAGGGGCTTCTGCTGTCCAGCCCATGGGCAGAGGACATGCTGATAACCATTAGCAGAGCCTTCCAAGTGCTAGGATAAGAAACATAATGTAGTTGTTCTGTCCCAAGGAGACGCACTTGTACTTCAAGGACAGCTTGACCCGAAAGTCCAGAAAATCAGTGAACACCTATGCAAGCCTCATCTGAGGATGGTTTTACCGAATGCAGCCAGGCATTGCCTTAGAGAGTCAGCAGCTACATGGAATGGACGGGCCAGCATGAATATATTGAGATGGCTCACATCTTTTTATTGTACGTTCATCTTAGAAACATCCTAATTTCATGTCTGCTGCTATCTCTTCATTCACATCAGAAAGCTCAGTGGTCCCCTTTTAGCCACAGGAGGTGAAATGATACGCCCAGGAAACCCCTCACCAACCCCCTCCCTGTCTCAGAAAGAGACAAACTGCCACTCTGTTGGCAGATCCTCCTCAAACCTAGCCTGGCAATAAAAGGCCCCTATGTTTTCAACCAAGCAACACCCGAGAGATGTTGAAATTGGAGTGACTTTGAAATCGGAGTGGAGGAAGTTGCTGTGGCCAAGCTGCTGGTCATTCCAGTCTCCTGCACGTGATGAGACGTGATCATCCAGAAACCTGAACCAGAGTGCAGAGAAGGTTGGCCAAGTCTTTGCTGCCCCCAGAGGGACTCCAGGGTGCTGCTCTCAGAGTTCACAACACTGTTCTCCCGCACAAACCACCCTGTAAGACTGAGGGCAACCCTCTGGGAATGAGAGAGCAGGCATTCCTCTACTCAGAAAGCAACACTGAGCACGTCATCACCTGGCCATGTCTCATTCTTCCGAGCTAGAGGCAGTGGTTTAAAACCCACTCTCTAAGCACAGGGCCCAGGAGAATAATGCACATGTATTACGAGAATGTAAAGCAAACCGTGAAATGTAACATTATTGCTGTGACCAAACTATGAAATTTCTCCTTCAGTTTATTACAATTAATAAACGGCTGTAAAAGGATTACGGTATTTTGTAGGAAAAGTGCAGTAGATTAAAATCTTTCCCATAGATTTAAGATTGGGAACCTGTAATAAAATTGAGCCAGATATTTTTTCTGCAAACCCAGGGAATCCCTTTGAGAGTCCCCTACTGATACTGTGGGTGGCATTTTACTAACTTGGTCACTGGGTCCCACTACAAAGTCCCTCTCTTCAACCTTGGATGGCCTTCCTCTGCTTCTGGTTGATTTGTACTTGATGCCTCTCACACCCTCACAGCCCAAGTCTTTTCCTCTGTTACATGCCTTTTCCTCCCCACAGGTAATCCAGTCATCTCCTTCACTGGGACTGAAGGGAACTGACTAGAACCTTCCCAGTCCTGCCCTCCACTCCCACTGTGTCCATCCACATTTCCTCCCCAGTGTGTAATAGGTGTCTTTTCACACTGCCAAGGCTAACCCTTCCAACTGTACCCTTGATTCTTTTTCCTCTGCCTCCTTGGGTACCTTACCCCATCATAAAACCATCACCCCTTCCCCCCTCAGTCTCATCCTCTCTGCAGACAGGTGCACATACATCCTGGAAAGTCTCTCCTCAAGTCAGGGAGTTCTCGCCCTCCCTCCATTTGTCACCAATATTCTTGAAAGGATTCTTCATTGATTTACTAAATATTCATTGAGCTCCTTCTACTTTGTGGCAAGCATTGTGTTAGATATGAGGTAGCTAGCAAAGAGTAAAGACATGGTTCCTCCCTCTAGTAAAGGAAATAAGAGCCCTTCCACCAAAGCAAAAGACAGTGAACTACCACTAATGCCAAGTGCTCTTAAGAAACAAGGATCTGAAATTGACATGAATGAGGTTCCATGATAGATGAAGTGGGTAGAGAAGGCCTCTATGCTGTTGGGGTCTTTTGGAGAAGATCTGAAGGATGAGAAAGAACCTGGGAAATAGTGGGGAGAAGAGCAGTTCTGGCTGAGGGAATAGGATGTGCAGAGGCCCTGAGGCAGAAATACACTGGCCTGTCTGAGCATCTGAAAGGACGCTGTGATTAAAGGGTAGTGAGCCAGGGGGAAATCAGGATGTTCTTGCGGGGGTAGGCAGAGACCTGATCGTGTAGGCCATAGTTAGGAGATTAGAATTTATTCTGAATTCAATAAGTAGCCATTGAAGGGTTTTTAGATAACTACAAGAAAATGATACCCCTTGCAGGTGTGTGGAGAAGGAATTGGAAAGAGGCAAGAGCGAAGACAGAGCAATTTAGAGGCTGCAGTAGCAGCCTGCTCTACTGTGGTGGCAGTGAAGACAGAGTGAAGGCATGAGTATGCAATGTCTCTGGGAGATAGAAACAGTGGGTCTTGCTGGCGTATTCAGTAAGAGGAGTGAGAGAAGGAGCAATTAGGATGACTCTGAGGCTTCTGACATGAGCAACTGGGTACATGGTGGTGCTCTGAATCAGGATGAAAGGGGAAACATTTGGGGAGTAATGGGTTGGAAAGAAACAAGAGTTCTCTTAAACATGCTAAGTTTAAATGACTGTGCAACATCCAAATAGAAAAAAAGCAAGTGCAGGTTTATGAACCTGGCGTTCAGAAGAGTGGTCTGGCCTGGAAGTATAAATTTGGTGTGTTCAGCGTTAACATAGTATTTAAATCCATGAGAGCATTTAAGATCACCTGGGAATGGGAGAGGAGGGTATGGGAGAGAAAGGAAAGTTAGAGGAAAATTTAATTTTAAAAAACAGAAACAACCCTCAAGAATCCAAAATTCAAGGGTTGACTAAATTAGGGGGAGCCACGTAAGAGGAGCCACCAAAGATATAAAGGGAAAACCAAAGAAGTGAGGAGAGGAGAGAGAGTCTAGGAAGAGGTGGTCAGCTGAATGGAATGCATCTGAAAAGTCTGGCATCATGGAGTTTACCTCCCTCTATTGTTTCTGCCTCTAAAAATGTTAACCCTCCTTCAAAGCCCAGATAAGATGACGTGACAACAGCAACCACTTAGTTAAAAATCACTAGTCTATCTCTGTATCAATATCTTCTCAGTCCTCATTCTCCTTGTTATCTATGAGCCTGTGACATCAGGGATCACCTGGTCCTTTGTGAGACTCTTCTCCATTAAGTTTACATTTCTATTACTCACTTTTAGTTCTCTTGTTTTTTTAAAAAAAAAAAAATTCTTTTTTTATTTTACTTTCCCTTAAACGTCTGTGTTTCCTGAAGTGTCTTTGGGCCCCTTCTTTGAATGCTTTGCAATCTCCTTTATTCACAGAACTTCAATAATCACCCTGTGCCTGAATCCAAAACCCAAATCTCATGCCAACCCCAATAATCTCTCTCTCTTTCAAGACTCAAGCTTTGGATCTCAACTTCCCGCTCAACATTTCTAGATCAGCATCACACTGACATTTTTAAAACCCTTTCTTGCAAAACCAAACTCTTCACCTTTGCTCCAAAGCTTTCTCTTCCTCATTATTATATTTTTATTTATGGTACAACCGCCTTCCCCTTGAAATTGTCAAGCCCTTGTTCACTTAGTCTTCCCCTTTATCCCAGGCAGTCAATAAATGTATTCCTATTCAACTTCCTAAACACATCTCTTCCTCCTCCACTCCCATAGAGTCCCACTGCCACTGTTCCAGTCCCCTTGCCCTTCATTCTGCCAGATCTTGCAGAACCGCATAGGCACTGGAGAGTAGCTGAGACTGTTCTAAGGGACATGGGAAGCCTCTGGGCAGTTGACCATGGGAGAGACAAAGGCACTCCCTGATCTGGTTAATCTCCCCTTTCACTAATCCTCTTCAGACCTACCTGAACAACTGAACAACTTACACTTTCCAGAACCTACCCTATTTCTTCTCATTACTGTGCAGCTGGTCACCCTCACCCAGATCACCCTCTTTATCATTTCTGCCTCTCAAAATATTAGTCCTGTCCTGGCTAGTGTGGCTTAGTTGATTGAATGTCATCTCATGCACCAAAATGTTGCTGGTTCGATTCCCAGTCAGGGCACATGCCCAGGTTTCAGGCCCGATCCCCAGTAGGAGATATGCAGGAGGCAGCCCATTGATATGTCTCTCTCACATCAATGTTTCTCTCTCTCCCCTTCTCCCTTCCTCTCTCTCTAAAACATATATATATATATGTTCTTTGAAGAAGAATATATATGTGTGTGTGTGTGTGTGTGTGTGTGTGTGTGTGTGTGTGTGTATCCTTCAAAGCCTAGGTTTAATGACATCTCCCAGTAAAGCCTCTTCAACCACCCAAGCTGGTAATCATCTGTTCTCTGAATTCCCATGGCAGATTAACTGTGCATCCATAATAACACCTGTCTTGCTTTTTTGTTTTAATGATTTTTGTGTGACATGTCTCGCCTCTTTATGCCGTAAATATCTCAGGACAAGAACTATGTACCACTTGTTTTTGTTCCACTACAAATCACAGCACGTACCTTGCATGCACCAGACCTTTAGGAAATGTCTGCCAAGGTAATAAATGAACAGCCATAATTGACATAAATTATTGTTTTGTGTACTGAATCAGTCCTAAATCCGCGGTGCCATCATTTCTGTATCACTGATGGTTATCCACTCACTTAAATAACCTTTCTTTGAATGCACTTAGAAAAGATGGAAAACTGTGTTATAAAGTAGGAACAAGTATGTAGGTTATTCCCTATCTTAAACAAAGAGAAGTTCTGTTATGCGTCATGGAAAATTAAAGCACAGTAATAAAATGAGCCAACAAGACTTGTTGAATACTGATTTAGTGGAAACGTTGCTTTGCCTCCTGTTCATAGGTCCTGACTTTCCTCTCACGTACTTAAGCTGCACGTTCTATTTATTTTGTTTTTAGATTACATTGACAACGATTGGCTATGGAGACAAAACCCCCCTAACGTGGCTGGGAAGATTGCTTTCTGCAGGCTTTGCGCTCCTTGGCATTTCTTTCTTTGCACTTCCTGCCGTGAGTATCTTCGCAAAAATGAAGCAGTTTAAATTCGATCTTAGAGATTTGTTAGTATGAGCTTTCACAAATTGATATGCCCAGGAACATATCTATATCATATACAAATATAATTTTTCTGATATAATGTTGAGTTTTCTACATATAGCCATGTGGACAATGTATAAAATATAGTCTTCTCTTGGAGACGCTTAACCTGGGAGTTTTATACCAGGTAGGTCTTTATGACCAAATAACAATTCAGATAGCATCACCTCTCAGTCCACATGCTACTAATACATTTAGAAGATTTGTAAAGATCGAAAGATTTCTTTTTAAACCGATGGTTCCAATTTAGTTTATACTGTGTGCTACTGAAGAGGAGGATGTGCACAAGTGGAGTATGTACTTCTCCCAGTCCGTTTGTGTGAAAAGCATATGACCTTAAAGGGTTTTCATTATATCAGATGATTTATTCTTTGTGTCATCATCATTGATTTTTCATAATGAGCAGTTTCTGCATCTTATCAGAATGGAGAACACATTTATCTTCTCCCAAGTTTCTGATTATTTTCTCCTTAATGGATGAAGCTTGTCTTTCCGATCATTGTGTCTCCTCTTATTTCCTTAAAGGAAATTGGTCAAGATATTGCAATCTGCCTCCATCTACAAGCTCTCACTTCTTTCATGTCACCCCTCATGGGGGGAACAGAGCCAACAAAAAGGAGTTTTTAAAGGAGTGGCAGCAGTCATGCTTAAGGAAAAATAGCCCCAGTTTCACTTCAGACATGAGCTGACTCGTCACAGTCTCTGCCTAGCAGAGACCCAGGGCACCCCTCCAAGGGAAGCCAGGCGAGTGGGGATTTTCAACACCATGGCCTTGAGCTCACGGGCTCCTTCTGTGCCTGTGAACCAGTGCAGAGGGGCTTGTCCTTCCCATGGCCACTGCCAACTCCAGATCGCCCAGCTGGTTCTGCGCAGACCACACAGAATCACAGAGTAGAGACTGAAAGACCATGCAGGAGCTTGAGCAGGAGACCTCATTTTAAATTCTAGTTTTGTCAGGAACTACCTCTGTGACTGTTCCAGTTCTCTAGGGCTGCTGTAAGAAAGCATCACAGGCTGGGTGGTTTAATCAGCAGAGATGCATCGTCTCACAGTTCTGGAGGCTAGAAGTCCAGAATCAAGAAGATGACAGCATTGGTTCTTTTTGAGGGCCAGGAGAGAAGAATGCTGGCCTCTTTCCTTGGTTTGTGGATAGCCATCTTCTCCCTGAGTCTTTACATTATCTTTCTTTCTACATCTGTGTCCCAATCTTTTAAGAACGCCAGTCTTATTGAATAAGGACCCACCCCAATGGCCTCATTGTAACCTGATTACCTCTGAAAAGACCTTGTCTCCAAACAGAGTCAGCATCTGAAGTAGTAGGGATTAGGTTTCCAACATATGAATTTTGGAGGGAAGCCATTCTGCCCATAGCAATAACCTTGGGTACATTTATTCATCTATATAATGGAGAAAGAATTATTATATCCTGAGAAATTTTGTGAAGACCTATGTGATAATGTCAGTCCAGTGCTTGTCATAAAAAAAAATTCCTATATGAATCCAGATGTATGTTTCCTGTTGTGAAATGAAAAAAAATCAAGGAGAGTAAAAACAGCATCTGACTTATCCAGAATCAACTTACCTGTTTACCTCAACAGTGTAGAGCAGAGCAGCAATTCGCTCAATAATCAGATTTCCGACAGGAAAAACCTGTAAATAAAATGCAGTCTTGGGCTTTTTCCCCAAAATAATGGCACAAAATGCCTGCTGCTTTTGTGTTTATACTTAACCTGAGGCCACATGTGTAACAACTCTGATCCAGTGAAAACCTACAAATAGGGAAGTAGGCAACTTCTGGGCTGTTAGAATCAACAACAGTGTATGTGCTGTCCTCAGCAGCGAGCCTCTTAAGAGCTACGCATGAACTTTTCTTAACTTAGAGGAAAACTTGATAGTTTCACAATTCCTTGAAGATTATAGACAGCAAATGAAAAGGTAGGTTGATAGAACAAACAGGAAGAGATGGTGAAAGACTAACAAGGGAAAGAATAGAAAATCTGTAGGAAGCAAGCAGACGTAAGTGTTCCAAATGTGTAAAGACCAGGGCCCAATTAGTGTTAGGGTCACCACGCCTCCAGGAGCTGGTTGAATCTGTCAGAGAGATAGCAGGTCCCCAACATGAAACTCTGAACTATGTCTCTCTGCTCAGTTCAAGATCAGAGACTAAATAATCATTCTTGGAAATGCTTCCCAATGAAGTGATTATAATTTTTATTTATGCCAATTAAATCAATATATGTTGGATATATAAAAACTTGCTTGCACAGAACAGAACATTCCCTAACAATGCCAAGAAAAGTAAACTTTACCATGGATCTTTTTACTGCAACCTCACATCAGGTGCAGAGTTCTTATTTTTTTTTAATATGTTTTTATTGAATTTAGAAAGGAAAGAAGGAGAAGGTAGAGAGACATAGAAACATCAATGATGAGAAAGAAACATCAACATTGATCAGCTGTCTCCTGCACACCCCCTACTGAGGATCAAGCCCGAAACCGGGGCATGTGCTCTGACTGGAATCCAACCGCTGACTCCAACCGGTGACCTCTTGGTGCATTGGTCAATTCTCAACCACTAAACCACACCAGCCAGGCTCTTATGTATTTAATGAAAGACTAAATTGTTCATATATACCTTAAAAAAAACAAGGTGACTGGAATTGCCACTATGTCTATGCACCCACTGGCCAACATGTTGTCTGAGATTTAGGATAGTGCATTGGCATTTTGCTATGAAAGTTAGAGGTGGATTATGGGCCACCACTGTTTGGGGTTTCTCCCACCCAGGAAACCTGAGGACAAAGAAAGAGAAGAGCCTTTTCTCATCTTCCCCTCAAAGCTGAAGGACTCTCCTGCACATCACAGAGGCATACAGGTCAGCCTCTCCAAGCTCCTCTGGGAGGTTACTTTCCCTGAGGCCCACTGCCTCCCGGGGCTAACAGGCTAAGGAGCTCGCAGGGGCAGCCCCAACTTCAGCATCACCCTGAGGAACAGGGCTTCCTACCCTTCAGGGCGTGCTCTTTCCTCTTTCAAGGAGTGGCTTTCAGTCTAGTCTGTTCACCATGTGTGGGGTACAAATTGGGCTCATTTAATCTGGAAGGTAACAGGGATAAATAGGGATAAATATTTTAAATGTCTACTAAAACATCTTTTCTTGCCACTTAGTATATGTATCACCTCTTGGCATAATACTAAAACTCAAAACCTAAAAATGTAAGTTATGTGATATGAGAAAATGAATTAAAACAAAACTTAATTTCTAAGAAGTTGTATTTGTTGGTGTCAATAGTTGAAGAGAAGGCACACAAATTATATATATATGTAAATTACATGTGAGGATACATATAAACTTACACCAATATATATACATAATAGACTTTAACACACTTCCAGTTAGGTTCGCTATGTTGTAGCCTCAGGGACGCAGAAGAAGACTGGAATGGAGCCATCATGAGATGATCAGCAGACCTGGTTTAATAATAGTTGTAATGTACAGTCTGGTGCAAGAGATGGGAACAAACGTTTACTGTTAATGTTTCTAAGCAATACCAATAAGATTTTCAGCACATTTTAGTTTGTTTGGCAGATGTTAACTCTGTGATTTGTAGGGCCTGTCTTCATTTTTCAAGAGGGATTTAACTCAGAACCTCATACCCCCATACAAAGTGCTCCAAAATGGTAGCTATTGCTGTTAATGAAATATCTACAAAATCAGAATTAGGCTGCATATGAGTGGTTTATATATAATACATAGTATAAATATGTGCTATAAGTTCAAATGCTTCCTATTCTCTTACATGTTTATACTTCATGAAAATTGACATCAAAAGGAAAATAACTAGCCCTAACTGGTTTGGCTCAGTGGATAGAGCATCAACCTGTGGACTGAAGGGTCCCAGGTTCGATTCCGGTCAAGGGCATGTTGTGGGCACATCCCCACTAGCGGGTGTGCAGGAGGCAGCTGATCAATGTTTCTAATTCTCTATCCCTCTCCCTTCCTCTCTGTAAAAAATCAATACAATATATATTTTTTCAAAAAAGGAAAATAACTAAATCTTTCCTAAATGATTTTAAATAGCAGAAAAAAATTAAAAGTTAGGGTTAACTATAGTTGACCTGGATTTGAACATGGAGGGCCATTTTTATAACCTCTAATGAAGGGAACTGTTTAAATCTAAAATCAAGGCTATACAGTCCCGGTTTTTATCAAGTTTAGTTTGTGCAATCATAAGCTATATGAGATGAAGATCTTAGCAAGAGACAGTCTCTGAAAAAGAAATGGAAAACAGAACCTATGACATAATTTCTAATTTTATGATAGTCATTTACCCTAGCTAATAATAGAGTTGATCATTGCTCATTAATAGTATTATATAAATATTTTAAACATGCAGTAGTCCCCCCTTTTCTGAGGATTCACTTTCTGTGGTTTCAGTTACCAATGGTCATCTTGATTGGAAAACATTAAATGGAAAATTCCAGAAATAAACAAGTCATAGTTTTAAATTGCATGCCGTTCTGAGTAGTGTAATGAAATCTCCTGTCCTCGTGCTTCGTCCTGCCTGGGACTTTGTCCAGCGTATCCATGCTGTAAACCTTATCCCACCCATTAGTCACTTAGTCATCTCTGTTATCAAACCAGTTATCAGACACAGAGAGAAAGACCACACTCACATAACTTATATTACAGTGTACCGTTACAATTGTTTTATTTTATTACTGTTGTTGTTAATCTCTTACTGTGCCTAATTTATGAATTAAACTTTATCTAGGTATGTGTGAATAGAAAAAACAGTACATATAGGCTTCGGTACTATCTGTAGTTTTAGGTATCTACTGCGGGTCTTGGAACATATCCCCGTGAATAACTGGGAGGACCACTATAATCACATTACTTATTATCTGGTTATTGTCACAGATGTACTCAGAATTGTGGCTTCTCAAGATAAGAAGGAAGGTTCAAGGTTATCTAGAGTGCAACCATATCTTAGCCAAGTTTCATCCCGCTGAGACCACCTCCTAAAGAAGAGAAACCCACCACCTCCCAGGCAGCCAATACCATCTTTGAGCTTCTTTGAAGAAATAAAGAAAAGAAAAACAACCATTCCTTATCTGTGGCGAATACTGACTTAGCACTTACCAGATACCCATCTCTCACCAAAGGGTTAGACTCCTTGAGTTTAATAAAAAGCTAATAATTTATAACTAACAAGTAACACCCACAGACTTGAAAGCAGTGATGCTCCATGTCCCATGGCAATAAACTGGAGACTTACAAAGCCCGGAGACTGGATTTAGCAAGCTCTGAAAGCCAGCACGGGGCTGATAAACAGCATCTTGAGTCCACAGTGTTAGACCAAAGCAAAGTGAGAAGAGGGGAGCGTTTCAAAGAGCCAGAACTTTGGCAGATGGAGATGATACACAAGCAAGCCAGGCCAAAAATTAACATAAATGTAAGAGGGACATACTAATCTTACCAACCCCAACATCTGAATAGATGAGCCAAGACCAAAAAGTAAGGAATGCCAAAAGTGTGAGATTAAAACTCAGAGAAACAGGAATGTGCTTTGCAATAATAACCCAAGTTCTTGTCTTTATTGCACAGACAGGCAAAATGGAAAACCTCCTATGTCTTGAAAACTGAGTGTTTGTTTGTCTGACCTGAAAAACTGTCCTCCCCTCCCCTTTCACTTTATTTTGGTAGGTGTAGACTTATAGCATCATGAGAACTAAACAAGGACAGATTTTAAACACTCTCCACACACACACACACACCCATTTCACATAGAAAATTCAGTTATTTCACCGAAGTGCTAGAAACACTCCCATGTCCACAGCAGCAAGACTTTAACTCTTCCAAATTTCATATCCACCTTTATTCAAAAGCAGAATTCATGTCCTCCATATTCCACCACTGGGTAGGACCATTTACTCTAACTTAGGCAGAAAGAAATGTTAGAGAGGGCACACAAAAGACATTTTTTAATGGTGATTTTTATTTGTAATTAGAGTGCCTCTACCATATCATAAGAGACAATAACTGGCAATGCCTGGTTGATTTACTAAAGAATGGAAGCTATTATATTTCTATGCAGTCTTGCCCAACAACTCGCCATTGGCCACTGGTAATATAATAGAAGTGAATAGTGTTTGTGTTAATAAGTTTGTTTTAATATTTCTGGACAGGTTGCATACATACTGTGTCTTTTCTCAGCCTCTTTTTAGAAGTTGTGTTTTTGTGTGTGTGTTTTAATTTTTAACAGCGCTATTGGGAGGGGGAAAAAACTTGAGTGTTATTTTTGTGTTTTGTTCCAGGGCATTCTTGGCTCAGGTTTTGCATTAAAAGTACAAGAACAGCACCGCCAGAAACACTTTGAGAAAAGAAGGAACCCAGCTGCCAACCTCATTCAGGTAAATGTCAATGTAATAGGTAGATGGCAACATCTGTCTTCATAAGTGCTTGCTGGGTCATTTTCCAATCTCTGTGCTCCATTGCTTTCAAGCTACTGTTTTGCGGTGTGTGTGTGTGTGTGTATGTGTGTGTGTGTGTGTGTGTGTGTGTGTGTGTGTGTGTTTAATGAAGCTGGAACTTAACGTACAGTCTTAGATTTGAGCAAGTGCCCCCATCCCAAACAGAAAAATAATATATATTTTCAGTAAATGGTCCATGTGTTGTTCGGGTTAATTAGCCGTGCCAGCAAGGCCATGTAGAGGTTAGCAGCTGTGTTGCTCCTGGAATAATCTAATATGTCTTATGAATTACTTGGTGACATATAATTGATCATTAAGTGATGGAGCAGAACATGGAATTGTTCCCTGCATTACAAATACTTTCTCCAGCCAAATGGATGCCACTGATCTGCAGAACAATGTATTTGTTTAGAATGTCAAGGTTAAGTACCTGTGGGATCATTTTTAATGCCGTCTAGAGCAATTACTTGAAATAGTTATTTTTAAGAGCTGGTGGGATTATGGAATACATAAATGTTTGAGAATGTGAGAATCATTAGCATATTATTTGAAAGCTAACTCATAACAATATATAGTTTAACTTTGTGTGTGTGTGTGTGTGTGTGTGTGTGTGTGTGTGTGTGTGTGTGTGTGTAACTCAGGATTTGCTTCAGTACTAAAAGAAACCCTCATCCTTTGCCATCCATATCTTTTGGGCATAGCACCATCCTAGAACCAAGTTGTTTAAGAATCACAAAATATACTTTTTATAGATCCACAAGATGGATTTGGTATTGAATTATGGACACAATGATTATACAATCTAGTTTCCTCCCTCCTTGCCAGCCAGTGGGAGGTCCAGAACTCCTAACTAAGGGGTTTGGGCTGGTGACCTGAGGTGCTAGGAGACTTGTCTTCCTGCTGGAGTAACATGCACATTGTTTTCATTTAGATTGTAGGTTTAAATGGGTGGGTTGCGGGATGGGGGAACCATTACACAACCCTACCCTTAGCCTTTCCCTGTGGCCATAATATGAAGTACCTCCAACAGAAATGGACCAAGAGGAAAAAGTGGGTGAGCGTGGCTCAGTTATATTATGAAAGAGATCTGCTTTGTATCTGATGATTAAATGAGGATATTAGTTTTTAAATCAAGCTATTCTGCAACTATTGACAAGGAAATTGGCCATTGGGCATGACTCCTAATATGAACTACTGAGAGTCTCTATTTTTTAAAAAATGTCTAGGTTTTAAAAGAGCACTAAAGATAAAGTAAGCTTTGTTTGCTTGAGGGAAAAAAATCCCTAAGGAGTAGGAGTTTAAGATCTAAAGCCAAATGATGAAAGAGGTGTCGCAGACTCTAGTGTACGCACAGCTGCCCCCAGCACAGATAGCCTTCCATCATTTGATTCTTCTTAACTAGTTGTGAAGGCATTTCCATACTTCAAAAGAACTTTTCTCCTTACTGTTTTTATCTTTTAATTATCCTTGCATCTATTTCTTATTTTTTAATTTCAGAACAATGTTTTCCAATCTGTGAATATAGAAGTTATTTCATAGATTCCTTGCATCCATCCAGGCAACAAGCCCTAGCTATGTATGGAACCAATGATATATCTTACACATATCTAGACTGCTTTCTCATGAATACAGTTCAAATTTATTTAAAACCCTTATAAGTTACTTATTAGCTTTCTTTTGTATATTTTATCAATCAACACATACTCAAAATACAGTCACTTCTGTGTATAGATCTTTGATACTTCTGGATGTTAAAAGGGGGCTCTATATCAAAAAAATCTTACAGTATTAACTATTCTGTTAGAAAGTCAGCCCTCTGAGGAATTTCTATGCATGTATTCCTTGTGATGATATAGAGCTGTGCTGCCCAGTGCAGTGACCACTAGCTGTATGTGGCTATTTAAGTTTAGGAAGTCAATTCCTCAGTGACACTAGCCACATTCCAAGTGTTCGATAACCATATGTGGCTATTGGCCATCATATTGCACAAGGCAGATATCAAGACTAATAGGAGAACCTCTCCTAATCTAACTTACCATTATCAACTACTAAATTGTGCAAAAACAATTTCCAACTGAACTTGAAAATAGACTACCACTCCTGCAGCAAATCAATGGACCAAAGACATTTATATCTCCACAGTCATAGCAAGGCAAGGCCTTCCTCTTACGTGGAGGAGAGGCTGACTGAACAGTTTTGCCTGGAGATCTAAAAGTATATTTCATGGAATTCTGTTATGTAAACATTGTGATCAATAATTGAACTTGTACAAATGTTAGGTAGCAATAGAGTGAAACCACTAATATTTCTTTTACTTAAAACTTTAACTCGTGTGTTGTTCTGAACAAAAAAAAAAAAAAAAAAAAAAAAAAAGACTGTAGCCCTAGCTATAGAGTGTTACCCCGTGGACTGAAGGGTCCCGGCTTCAATTCTGGTCAAGGGCATGTACCTTGGCTGCAGGCTCTATTCCCGGCCCTGGGTGTATACAGGAGGCAACAAATCTACGTGTCTCTCTCACATCAATATCCCTCTCCCTCTCCCTCTCTTCCTCTCCTTCTCCCTCTCTTCCTCTCCCTTCCACTCTCTCCAAAAAACAATGGAAAGTATCCTTGAGTGAGGATAAATGAAAGGCTTAAGCCTTCATCAGTATGGCTTGGTTGGTTGGAAAATTGTCCCATGCACCAAAGGATCGAGGGTTTGATTCCCCATCAGGACACACACCTGAGTTGCAGGTTCAATCCCCAATCGGGGGCATGTGTGGGAGACAATGGATCAATGTTTCTCTCTCACATTGATCTCTCTCTCTCTCTCTCTCCCCCTCCCTCCCTCCCTTCAAGCTCAATCTCAATCTCTTCTTCCCCCCTCCCTCTCAATCTCAATCTCTCCCTCCTCCCCCTCTGCCCTCTCCCTTTCTCTCTTCCTAGAATTAATGGAAACATATCCTCAGGTGAGGACTAAAAGGGAAAGGGAAAAAAAAGACTTGAAACACTCAAGAACACTTTAAAATCTAACCATAGTTTCAGTAATCAAAGTAGGATCTACTAATTTAAAAAGCAATTGTTTCCCCATCCAAATGCTATTAATTTATTTATTAGCCATAAGAATAATAATATAATTAAATGTATTCACTGTTATTTCTTGATGGCCCTTAGCCAGAATTCAGGGCTTTAAACCTTGGTTATATATATTAGAAATTTATTTTCAAGGATGCACTAGATTGAAAAGCAAGCATCATTTGCTGATCCATTTATTTTCTTACCCAATAAACCTGCCTTGGTTTGCTGAACACACAAGGCATCAAGCTCAAGAGCAATCTCATTAGTGTTAAGCCAGAGCAACTATCTTTCTAAAAGGGCACTGAAATGCCCAAATTGCCTTGTCATTTGGTTGGCGAGGCAACTAAATTAACCAGCGTTTCCAAGTTTTAGGGAAAAGTTTAAAAACCACCCCAGCAGCTTGCAGCAAATTTAGCTGTGTCAATATCTTTGCATGATTCATTTAAATTAACTTTTTATTTCAAATGTAGCAGTCTGGGAAAAGAAATCAGCTCTCACCAACATTTTGAATACCTGCCCAAATGTCACAACTTTTAATAATACCTAAGACTTTTGATGTGCTTTTTAGTTGGCAGAATGTTTCTATACATTAAGTCACTTGATCCTAAGGGCAAGCCTAGGAAGAGCTAGGACTCAAATCCCTGGTGTCTGAACTTGAATCCATTACTCCTTTCAAAGAGCAGCAGTTGCATCATCACATATGTATTTACTACTGACCCAGTGCATGGATCTGTACACATTGAAAGAAAATTAATCAGAAGGTTGCTGGCGGGGCAGGACTGGGAGAGATGGGCCGGACACGCCCTGGAGTCAACCTTCCACAGTCCCTCCCCAGTGTCTGCACAGTGAGCAGGGTCCCTCTGGCAGGTGGGGTCCCTCGGCCTGGCCTGCGGGGATCGGGCCGAAACTGGCTCTTTGACATCCCCCGAGGGATCCCAGAATGTGAGACGGCACTCTGCAAAGTTGCTGTGGTACAGAGTGTGGAACACAAACACAAGTGTGCAGTAAACCAGATTCAGGGCCAATAGTGCCCCAGCAATGATATAACCCATGACCAAAGGTGGAATTGCACGGCCCTGTGAGGAATTGGGCTCCCTCCTCTCTGGTTTCAGGGTGCATCACCCAAGAACCTCCGCTGCCAAGTCACTGCAGCTCAGCAGCTCCTGCATTGAGTGTCTTCCCCCTGGTGGTCAGTGCATGTCATAGCGACCAGTCAGACAGTCAGACATCCTATCTAATAAAAGAGAAACATGGTAATTGGCGTACGACCGCTACCCTTCCCATTGGCTAATCAAGGCAATATGCAAATTAACTGCCAGCCAAGATGGCGGCCGGCAGCCAGGCAGCTTGAAACTAACATGAGGCTTGCTTGCTTCAGTGACGGAGGACTCCAACGTTCCCCACCTGCTGCTGCAGGCCTCTGAGCTGCAACTCTAAGCAACTATGTAACAAATATAGAAGCTAATCAAAACCCCAGAAACCTGTTTTAGTCCGACGGGCTTCAGCCAGCAGGATTGCAACATTGTAGCAAAGGCCAGAAACCTACTTTCAGCAGCAGAGGCCTAAGAGCTGGAGCCAAGCCTCAAAACTAAAGATGGCCCAGAAAAAAAAAAAAAAAAAAGAAAGAAAAAAAAGGAGCGGTTAGGAGCTTCAGTCACCCCCAGCCTGAAAACAGCCCTCAGCCCCTCACCCAGACTGGCCAGGCACCCCAGTGAGGACCCCCACCCTGATCCAGGACATCCTTCAGGGCAAACCAGCTGGCACCCACCCGTGCACCAGGCCTCTACCCTATATAGTAAAAGGGTAATATGCCTCCCAGCACCGGGATCAGCGGAGCCGCGAGGCCTCCCAACTCCGGGATCAGCGTGACAGGGGGCAGCGCCC